GCGGGGAGGGGAGGCACTGCAGGCATGGAGGACAGCTGCCGGCCCAGCTGGCAGCACGAGGACTCACGGTTGGGCCACACTATATCTGAGCTGTATCTCTGCTGGGATTCCCCCACACGCCCTGCAAGTGGCAGCTGTAGGGGATGTCCCTTGGTTCTGTATGCCCCACCTTTTCCTGGCAGAGGGATCCCTGGTTACCTCTGAGGCCCAGGCCCTCCGGTTACTACTGGCTTTCACCTGGGATACCCCAGTTATCATCTGGATACCTGTTTCCCCATGACCTGAGAGCCCCATATCGGGAGGAAGCAGGAGGAAAGACTGGCTTGTCCAGAGTCTCAATGAGGAAATCAAATCCAGTGGGTCCTGAGCCTGTGTTCACCCCAGGTGTCCAGGGCAGGGGTGGTGCTATTTGGGTTCTAGACCCTGGAACAGAGAGGCCCCTGAGGAGAAGGGCTGGTCTGGGTTCCCCGACGAGCGTAGAGACACCCTGGCTGGATGGAGCTGAGGGGCTCCAGCCAGTGCGTGTGCTGCACTCACTTGCCCTGGTCTGGGGTCCGCTGCAGCATGGAGGACACCTTCAGCAGGGTGCTGTGGTCCCGGAGCTGGGCCAGCACCTTCAGCAGCAGCACGATGGAGCGGTTCATGTGCCAGGCGAAGCTGCCTGGCCGGTCGATCTCGTCCACAGGGATCCGCCAGATGCCCTGTGGGATGGACAGGGCGGGAATGTGAGGAAGGCTGCTGCAGCCGCGGCTGCCATGGAGCCAGAGGAGACATGACTCAATCAAGGGCTCCCCAGGCCCCTCTCAGTGTCCCGAGGGGGATGGGACTGTGGCCACTCCCACGGCTTCCCACCATAAATGGCAAGAAAAGATAAATCTGCGGCTGTGGGCTGTGCACCACCCTCTTTTGAATAACTGCATGGCACACTGCATGGCACACGTTTACTTGATCCAATCCCTGCAGGAAGCGTGCAGGTCATGCCTGATCAAATGCGGCCAACTGGGAGAAGCCCAGTGCCCGTGGTCTGCACAGATGTGGAGTCAGCAATGGGGCCAACTCCTGGAGGTGAACTGAGGGTCAAAGGTGGTCACTGTAACCTCCTGGCAGCTGTTGTTAATGAGACAGGCTCAGGGGTGGAACCCCACCCCACCATGTGCACTCCCTCCAGCAGCATCCAGACAATCTAGATTTGGGCTAAAAATGACCAGCAGCTCCTAGGGTGCCCAGTTCCCACCAACCCGCCTTTGTCTAAAGTTTGGAGTCCCCCACCTCCCTCCGCCAAGCTTAACCCACTGCTGCCCTGGGCACCCTGCCCATTGGTCTGGTTCCCTGCAGTGTCCCACAACCAGCATGGCGGGTGACCCCCACTCGGGTGCAGTCAAGATGTGCTGAAGGAAAGGATGACCCAGGGAGTGAATGACAAGTGAATAGGAGCTCACACCTTCTGAGCAGACCTAAGGTTGTGGTGCCTGGACATTAGGAGTCCTGTCTCTGGGGCAGGACCTCGGGGCCTGGAAGGAGTTGGCAGGCTCCCAGATACGTCCTTGCATTCAACTCCCTAGAGAAATTCCTGCCCAGAATGGACCAGGACTGTGAGCGGCTACTCCCCAC